ATGCGTTACTTCAGTATTTTGCGTTTCTACGTGTTCGTAGCACTAGAAAAACCACCGCTTATCTGTGATAACAACTACGTTATCCAGGTATTTAGTGACGTCACTATTCTTTCATAATCTCTGTTATCATTGATTGTAATGTTTTCGTAGAAGAAGTAAAAAATGCATTAAGACGGTATTATTGAAAAGTCTAAAAGGCCCATTATCTTCTGTTTTTTGTTTTTGATAAACACTTGATTCTCTTAATATTTGAATACTTTCGTTTTACAAGTTTCATTTAGGCTAAAGTAAATCGCTTAAATTACTGGAGTAAAAGAAATTACCCACCTTCTTTGGAAAAAGACCACCCACTCTGGGGCTGGCTACGACCCTGATGCATGAGGTAATCAACTAAAGATAATACACCAAATAAATCAACAGCATAACTGAAGTAAAACTGTGGCATTAAAGCTGTATTCTGTAACATGCTGTGGTGTATCTAATGAAATAATAACTTGTACGATAGTTTCATTTATTATTTAATTTCTGTACTGCATATTGGTGTATAAATAATTTTAAACCATTTGAAGATTTGTACTGTCAGTTTCGGTTTGTGTTTTAGTGAACGCTCCTGATGAAACTGTAAAGAGAAACATTGAATGTCTAATTAAATCAAAACAACATTTTAGTGTTATAAGGTCATTCATTTCTAGTTTCGTTTATTACTTTTAATTGCTTTGTTACTCAGTAGTTTCACTTATTACTTTTAATTGCTTTGTTACTCAGTAGTTTCACTTATTACTTTTAATTGCTTTGTTACTCAGTAGTTTCGTGCATTACTTTTAATTACTTTGTTACTCAGTAGTTTCATGCATTACTTTTAATTGCTTTGTTACTCAGTAGTTTCATTTATTACTTTTAATTGCTGTGTTACTCAGTAGTGTCATTTATTACTTTTAATTGCTTTGTTACTCAGTAGTGTCATTTATTACTTTTAATTGCTTTGTTACTCAGTAGTTTCATTTATTACTTTTAATTGCTTTATTACTCAGTAGTGTCATTTATTACTTTTAATTGCTTTATTACTCAGTAGTTTCATTTCTGATCTAACAATGACACGTTAATTACTTTTTTAAATGTGATCTACAGGACTTAGCAATATTAAACGTTAATTTCAATTGTTTCGATTTTCCATTTATTACAGTATAGTAACTTTAGAATTTTTAATTTCTGTGTTCAGCTTAGAAACATTTGTCGTATTTCCTATTCTTTTAATGTTTGATAAAATATAAACATCAAAATGTAACACAAAAAGTTTAACGGAATTTTTAATCTGCTGTGATATTCATAGCCTTTTGTAAAGACATTTTGAATGTCGATAATTCTGTAAAAACTTCCTTTCTCCATTGCACATCCTTACTCGGGGAATATATTGTAACAATAACAATAAAAAGCATGTTTTATTATTATTATTTCACAAGAAGCACACCATTGTAATTTTGTTACTTTACAGCCTTAGTTTTCCGAGTACAAATTTAGTACAGTGTATTTAAATTGTTCCTTACATTCATTGTATTCCAAAAACCAAAGATCCAAATAAAATTACAAATAAAAACTTATAGTTTAGAGTAACAACAGCGAAAGATGGCAATGTAAGATCATTACTATTCCATTCAGATGTAAGTTTTTAAAGAAATGCCTCCTCCCTTGTGGCTTAGCTGTAACCCTGAGGGGTTTAAAACGCTAAAAATTGGGATTCAATACTTGCGGTGGGCATAATAACATAGATAGCATATCGTGTAGAATTTTACTTAATGAAAACAAACAAACAAACTTAAGAAAATTGATTCAAGAGAAGTCGGTTTATATATATATCTTGGACACCATTCCAATCTTATTCTTGAAATGTTTTGGTGTAGTATATTGTGATATGTTTGATGTAGTATAGTATGATATATTTGATGTAGTATACTGTGATATATTTGTTGTAGTAAAGTGTGAAAAATTTGGTGTAGTATATTGTGATATATTTGATGTAGTATAGTGTGATATATTTGTTGTAGTATATTGTGATGTATTTGGTGTACTATATTGTGATATATTTGTTGTAGTATATTGTGATGTATTTGGTGTACTATATTGTGATATATTTGGTGTAATATATTGTGATGTATTATATTGTGATATATTTGTTGTAGTATATTGTGATATATTTGATGTAGTATAGTATGATATATTTGGTGTTGTATATTGTGATGTATTTGGTGTACTATATTGTGATATATTTGTTGTAGTATATTGTGATGTATTTGGTGTACTATATTGTGATATATTTGTTGTAGTATATTGTGATATATTTGGTGTATTATATTGTGATATATTTGTTGTAGTATATTGTGATATATTTGATGTAGTATAGTATGATATATTTGGTGTTGTATATTGTGATGTATTTGGTGTACTATATTGTGATATATTTGTTGTAGTATATTGTGATGTATTTGGTGTACTATATTGTGATATATTTGTTGTAGTATATTGTGATGTATTTGGTGTACTATATTGTGATATATTTGTT